ATGCCTTACTCAGTTTATCTCTGTTTCGTTTTCAACGTTCTCATGAACACAACCTTGGAAATATTGTCTTACATTACCTAAGAAAATATGGTACATTGCCTCTGGATAGTGATATTAGAGAGAAAATTGGGATCTTACGTTTTTAGGTCTTTCAAGGTTTGTACTTCTGAAGTCATCAAAACACCGTCGTCACACACAGTGATGTACAGCGATTGAACATAATGAACTATCCTATTGATGCAACCATTTGAATTGTACACCATCAACATGTCTCGTTCTATTACCGGAATCTAATTACCGGAATTGTGTTACTAGAAAGTACGTACTTCATACACATTTCTCTGGTATTATTGCATTGCTCTCTGGTATTAAATTTAAAAAATTGAAGTATGGGTTTGTAAATAAATCGTCCAGGTTGGTATGGTTCTGAGAAGGACTGTTTTGTTGTTGTTGACTGACGTTTCGACAACTTTAGCGGTAGTCATCTTCAGAGTCATTTTTCGACAACCTTAACGGTAGTCATCTTCAGAGTCAGAGTCTTTTGACTCTGAAGATGACTACCGCTAAGGTTGTCGAAACGTCAGTCAATAACAACAAAAACACTCCTTCTCAGGACTAACATATTTAAACATAATCAAAGATAATTAATAAAAAAATCAAAGCAAATTAGAAAAATTAGATAATCAAATTATCTAATCAAATTATCTAATTAAATAAAAGATAATCAAATTATCTAATTTCAGCTCTTTCTGCTTTGATTACGTAAACCATCAACATCCCAATAATATCTCACCGCAGAGAAGGAAAACGATAGCAGATTTCCATTTTTAGACCTTGACATCTGCCTTTTGATTAGCAACAACTACCTCTGTCTATGGTAAACCTACATTCGCCAATCATTTTACCAACTTTCACAACTTTATCCCACTTCTCCACAAACTTAACTAATCTGTTGACTCCTACCCGCATCTTTACCTTACTATTTAGTTTCAGTCATAAGATTTCAGTTTCATTGATTAGTACGTACTTGCGAACAACCTGAGCTGTTATCGAATAACAAATTTGCTCACTTGGGCAAACGGAAATAAAATTAATAGGCCAAAAGCAATCAAGCTTGAAAATTAGTCATGGCGTGCAGACGTGTTTTTGCAGTCGTGCTTCAATTGACTATTATCAGCGTTTTACTTGGCCAATTTACTTCAATTACACCTGAATTCGATCGCTCTACAGTCAGATTCTTCATTGGGAAGGAAATATCTGCTCCACCTACGTTCGACTGTAAGTCAAAGCCTTCGAAATGCACACCTTGCGATTTGAATTTGAAGCTGCAGGCGTTGTTGCGGTTCGTCAAACTTGGCCAATTTTGTCTGTGTATTCTTCTATCTGGCGATATTGCCGTCAATCCAGGACCTAATAACCTTCAACCTCCTGTAGGCTTCAGAGGCTTATCAGTCTGCCACTGGAACATCCAAAGACTGACTGACACCAAATTGGAAGAACTACCTCTAATGCTCACCTCGAACAACAACAGTGCTGCTAAACTCGACGTCTTAATTCTCACTGAGACGTTCGGATCTAGTAAAATTCCAGACAGCTATTACATGATACCCGGCTACACATTACCCAGAAAAGATCAAATCGGGAAGAAACGTGGCGGCATAATTGCGTATGTAAATGTGAAAGTTATGGCTTCATGTCGAAGAGATTTGGAACTGGATGATCTTGAAACTCTCTGGCTTCAAATTTGTCCTCATAAATCAAAGAGACCGATTTTGACATCTGGTGTTTACCGTCCACCATCAGCCAACAAAGATTATAATGAGAGTTTGGGTAAAAATATTGAAAATGCCCATCTCCAAAACCATGAATTGATTATTCTGGGAGACTTCAATTTAGATTATATTAATTTCAATTGTTATTCAAAACATTGTCGCGCAAAGGCACTGAAGAGTCTTGGATAACACAGATGGTAAATACAGTAACAAGACCTGCCTCTGATGCGTGCTTAGACCATATTTATTCTAGTCATCCTGTTAGATTTACAGAAGTAGCCATAGGTAAATCTGGACTTTCCGATCACCTTCCGGTCACTATCTTGAGGTGCTAAAAAACCATGGATGCACAACGTAAACAACATTCCAAAATCAAATACAGAAATATCGACAAAATCAACAAAGAGTGCTTTTCTGCGAGACTTAAGAGAAGCCCCTTGGGATATCTCCTTTGTTTTTCGAGATGCCAATAACATTGTTGAATCTTGGTACAAAATCTTTAATGACATTCTTGATAATCCCGCACCTTTAAAGTTCAAGAGTGTGAAGAAAATCAATCAGCCAAAATGGTTCACTAATGATCTATACAACGAAATAAATAAACGCGATAATCTTCTAAAGAGGACCAGGAGAACACAAAATGAACAAGATTGGTCTGCTTTTAAACTGATTAAAAACGAAGTGACGAGGAAACTAAGAAATGCGAAGGAACAGCACTTTAAAACTCAATTCAGTAAAAGTCAAAAATGTACAAAGAAACTTGGTCTTTAAATAAAGACCTATCTAAAGATACAAGGAATAATGACGACTCCGTCCCTATTGCTGACGAAAACAACAACCTGATAAAGGATGACAAATCAATCGCTGAACGCTTTAACCGCTTCTTCGCTGATGTATATAAACGTCTTATAAAAGCGGCACCTTTACTTCATTATGATGCTCTTCCTGGTCCACCAGACAAATCTAACAGTCTAATTGAGAATCTTATTCCGCAAATAACTCCTAGTGAGGTTAACGATTATCTTCTAAGTATACCTACACACAAAGCCACGGGAATCGATGGGCTTGGTGCCAGAGTTCTAAGGATTGCAGTTCCTGAAATATCACGCTCCATAGCTAAAATTATAAATCACTGTATTGAAACTTGTACATTTCCCTCACAATGGAAAATAGCAAAGGTTAAACCACTATTCAAGAATCAAGGAAACAAGCAAGATATTCAAAACTATCGTCCTATCAGTATTTTGCCTATTCTTTCTAAAGTCTTTGAAAGACACATCTTCAATGCAATGAACACCTACTTAACAGAAAATGCACTTTTATACCGCTTTCAATCAGGTTTCCGTAAAAACCACTCCACGGATACTGCTTTATTGTTTCTTCTGGACCAAGTCCTCCTTGACCTTGATAAGAAAAATGTCAGCGGCTTAGTCCTTGTGGACTATAGCAAGGCATTCGACTTGATCAATCATGACATTCTCCTAGTAAAGTTAAGATCATATGGATTTCCAGATAATGTTGTAAAGCTATTGCAAAGCTATCTACTCAATCGCAAACAGTGTGTCACTGTAAATAACTCGACTTCGTCACAACTTATGCTAACCAATGGAGTTCCTCAAGGTAGCATATTACGACCTGTACTGTTTTTAATTTTCGTCAATGATCTTCCCGAAGCTGTTAGATCGGACTCAACTATTCATGCTTACGCGGATGACACCACATTTAAAGCCAGCGCTAATATCGATAATGCACCATTGGAATTAGAACGACGTCTTCAAGAATACATGGATAAATTAAGTAAATGGTCTAGCGAAAATGGGATGGTCCTAAACGCTGTTAAAACCAAAGCATTACTTATCACATGAAAGAGGCTACATTCATCATTAGTTGATGGCAATCACCTGTCGGTGACCATTGATGGGGCCGAAATAGAACAAGTAACCTCTTATAAATTGCTTGGTGTAACACTCGATCAAGATCTTACATTTAGTGACCACATTTCTAGCCTAAAGGCCAAGCTTTCTCAGCGTATTGGTTTCTTGAAAAAGATAAAGAGATACCTTCCAATAAAAGAAAGACTTTGATACTATAACGCCTTGATTAAACCCTTATGTACGGGAGCATGGTTTGAAATACCTGCGACGTTAAAGAACTCCACTGTCTCCTAAGGTTACAGAAAAGGGCTGCCTGAGTAATTCTTGGAGTAGACCCTTATTCTAGAAGTGTTGTAAACTTTAGTAAACTAGGCTGGTTGCCTTTTTTTGACGAAATCAAACTAAACAAATGTACCATGATTTTTAAGAGCCTCAAATGCAATGTTCCGATTTACATCAGAGATTTGCTCAAGACGAACAGTTCTTTGCACAATAAGTCTACCAGACATGGCAATTTAAATTTAGTGTGTCCCAAATACCTAAGAAATAACGATGGTGGCAAGGCATTCAGTGTTGACGCAGTTAAGTTATGGAACAGCCTTCCCCATAATATCAAAAAAAGCCTAGAATAAAACAACTCAAAACAGCTGTGAAAAAGCATTTTATAAGCTCATATAAAAACCTGGACAACTTTGAAACTGTATTAAGCAATAGCACATTATCTAATTTTAAATTTTTATAAATTTATTTTATCTTTCTGAATATTTTTAATATGTATTGCTATTTTTACTATAGAATTTTGTAATTATTTATATATTTATTCATTTATCATTTTTTGTAATACTGTATTATCTAGTTAGAGGGACACAGGTTTGTCAGCTTTTCAGCTATTACGTGTCCCCCTCTTCAAATAAAGTCCTTACTATTAACAGATAGCCTAGACGATCGGGAAGATAGTATAGATTATTGAGAGATAGACTAGAACATTGAGGGTAGCATGGGTCAATAATGAGTAACTATAAACATTAAGATATAGCCTTGATCCACCGCAAGACCAGCAAGGGTAAAAAAGATAACTAAGGGATAACTTAGATCCTGAGAGGTTAACTACAATTGTCGAACAACTAGTTACGATTAAGAACATTAACGTGCGTAAAAGAAAATAATGGAGTACCTTCGATAAATAAAGGATACAGAGTATAGAAAGATGGAATTTTGATGGAGACGAAAATCGTCAGTGTAGCCGATATCAAAAGAGGGGAACAATGGATCATAAAGCGATAACTTATCGAAATGTATAACAATATTAAGTTTATATTCGCTACATGCGAGTTTCTTCAGTTTCATAAAGATGTTAAAACTCACCAAAATTATCGTCCACCTGAGAAATAGGTTTAAAGTAAAGATCCCTGCTCCATTCTACCATACATTTAGGAATAGAAACGAGACATTCCAGACCTTTGATAAGAATACTGCGTTCTTGAACCTGGAAAAATCATATAAAAATAAGACGACATTGAAACTATTCATATAAAAACGTGATAAAAAGATGTATTATAATCAACATTGTCAGCACAAAATATTAGAGACATGTTCTAGTCCTTTTCATGTTGATAGACTATGCTCCAGTTTTTTCATGTTGATAGACTATGTCCCAGTCCTTTTCACAATAATAGACTAGGTTCCAGTCCTTTTCAAGTGGCATAGATATGAACAAGACAATGTAGAGAAGTAAACATTATGAAACATATTCATCAACTTACTGGTGTCGCTCCTAATTCAATAGCTTGACGTCCTTGGGCAACTTTAGAGAAAGCATAGATCAATCTTTGAAAGATATTCGACAAAGCCAATTCACAGTCGTAATTTAAATATATATCAACGACCGTCTGTGCATCTGCAATAAAGGACACGAATCGACATTAATGGATAATATCAATGGATATAAAGGGATGACAGGAAGATAAAATCAAAAATTTAATTGTTGGTATATTGATAATTAGTAAGGGAAAGGTCGCACCTCACCTCTTGTACACCCATGAAGAAAATTCGAACGAGAGAATTGTGAAGATTGAATATAGGATGGGATTTGGAAATAAAAGATGCTTAATTGTTGTACAGGGTTAAGTAAACAGAGGAGACATTTGGTAGAACTTGAGACAATGTCAGTGTAAGCTTTACACTGAAAGCTGACGGTTTGCACCAGCTAGAGAGTTCTTACAAAAGTCTCAAGGTTTGCATAAGCCAGTACAAACACAAAAAACATCTTTTAGTTCTTTTGTAAATAATAGTAATGCAAAACAGACAACTTTAAGAAAAAAGTTTAAAATTTTTCTCTAAAATGTATTCATGATTCCTTTGCAAATTATCTTTAATGGATATAATTGATGTAGCTCAGATACGCAGGTTTGTACAGGCTAATGCAAACACAGTTTAAGTTTTTATTAAGTAAATAGTGATGTCGGATGAATAGCTTTAGAACATTGAGTTTTGATGTCGTTAAACATTCACGGTGTACATTAAAAAAACACAATTGATTTTATTAAACTTTCTGATGATCAGTGAAAGACTCTCAATGACAACAAAAGGTTTCCAAAGAAATAAATGATCATAAAGTTCCGAAATTTTCATAGCGTGACTAAACTTGAGAACTGACTACGCTACTTAACACAATCGCTTTTATAGAAAATTGATCGATGGTATTTCAAATATTAGTTGTTTATATAAATACCTTGGTAGAAGCGTTCAAACTTTGGAGGTACTTGTCTTCTTTGGCGTAAGAGAAAACTTCAAGCAAAGTACAAATGATTAAATATGGTTCATTATATTGAAACAAGAAAGAAAAGTTTCTCCCTCAAATAGAAATGCAAATAACAAACTAGAAACAGGAAACATTGAGTTGCGTACTTCATGTAAGAAAAGATATAGTATCTTTTAACAAAGGCTCCTTTGATGAGGTATAGGCTTCACTGCACTAGGTTAAATTAATTTCTCATTTGGCATTTTCCGTTTTTTGTTAAGTACTTTCAGTAATATATGTTACTTAAGTTGTAAGGGTTACAAACGTTGGTATCTTTGGTTAAAATGGTTGAACGAGTATACAGATTTTGTTCGAGTGATCTCCTTTGATTTTGGTAAAACCTTTGATTCAGTTTCAAATAACGTCGTGGTTAAAAACTTTTCTTTTCCAATCTGACTCCAGTTACTTGATGTCTCTTGCTTTTTTGTTGATCGCATAAGTTTTTATGCTTCGTGCAATTACTTAGCGACATTTTTTTTCTCTTAGAAATTCAATGAACGCTTTTTAAAATAGATTATTGTATTGTAATTTTTCTTTAGAAACTGAAAGATTTTAGTATGCATTTCAAAAAAATAACGAGTGAAAACCAACTATTTACTTGCAGTACTTGGCCTCTTACATTGACAACAAAAAATTGAAATATTTAATCACAAAATCCTAGTTTAAACATGAATTTTTTTATTTATCTTCAAATTGTAAAAATCAACCACGGTGATCCTTCATAATAACCACATACTCATGCACACTAAATTTAAAACTTGTCAACTCTAATTACGAACATTAAAACCTGGATCATGTTTCTCCATTCTCCTCTTTTGCATTTGCCTCTTTTCCATATTTGTAGAATGTAGTCAGTCTTCATAGTTCAACATAAATGTTCATACATGTTATACAATGTTCTTTTAATAACTTTTTATCATTCCATTTGTGGTGTAACCTTAATATTTAATCTTTTCTGAACATATTTCCCACTCTAAATTTAACTCTTTTAGTCGCGAATAGTAAAATCCTTCACATTACGAAGGTGTTAACAAAACCTGTTAATTTAAAGTAAATGGTTTGAGCACGGGAGTATCGTTACATGTTTGTAAATGTAGATCGTACATGTTGGTATATTCTTGAGATGGACTGTTTTTGTTTTTGTTGACTGACGTTTCGACAAGGCTGTTCTCGGGACTGGTATAGTCCTGAGAAGGACTACCGTTAAGGTTGTCGAAACGTCAGTCAACAACAACAAAAACAGTCCTCCTCAGGACTATACCAACCTGGACGATCTACATTTACTAACATGTAACGATACTCCCGGGTTCAAACCATTTAATTTAAAACGTTTATTGTTGTGAACAATTGTTACAAGTTAGAACCATAGCTATATATTGAACGTTGTATTACCATCAACATTATGACAAATTTTATTTTAAAAAACAGAAAGTGAAGTTTATCATTCTTCGATATTTTAATCAAAAAAATTTTACTCAAAAAAATTCAATTCTTAAGTTCAAATGAACTTGTGTCAAAATGGTAAATTCATTAATTTTCATCACAGATATTGACATGACATCATGATGATGTTTTTACATACGGGAATTGTTGACAGTATATAACATTTTCTGTCTTTAAGGTCATATGTACATAATAAACGTACAGAAATGATCTCTCACATTTTTCAACTAATGACCATAAAACCAAATGACATGACATGACATCACGATGGTGTTTTATAAATGTGAATTTTTAATACCATACAAAACTTGCTTCCACGATATTAACATGCGTAAGGTAAATTTTATTTACAGTTTTTGAAAGAATGTTCAAAGAAAGTCACTCTATAATTCAAACAAAATAATCTTCATCTACAACAACACCATATTGTCAAATGACTCTCAATGAATGAGTTGTCGACATTCTTTCATTTCTATGTAGTAAACGTTTAATATATAATAAAAATAACCAAATTATCTGACCATACATTTGTATTAAAAAGTAAACCATCAACATAAAGTTCGTTCAGAGATCAAAGGTTTCTCACTTTTGGTAATTTTCACATGTAAAACAAGCGACCATCCTTACGACAACCAACATCTTTGTTTGATATTCTCAATTTCATCACAACTTTGACAATGTTACAGTGTTGAATTCTCCAAATATAAATTTGAAAGTTGACGGGAATCATAGGATGAAAAAGATCTTTACTTGACAATACAAAAAAACAAATCTCTCTATCTGTCCGTGATATTTTTACATAATTAAAAACTGACAGTTTTTCCACGGTTAAAACAAAGGATATGGACAATTTTTTCTGTAATTTTTTTGAACTCGTTATTGATACCATAATTAACTGTCCTTTTGTGATATAAAGAACTTTTTATGTTCGTTGTAAGTGATATGTAATGTTAGTAAATACAATAGGTTAATATAACTACAAAGGTTGAGTTAGTGGATTCATTCAGGAACATTGAGCTTTAAAAATTTAATTCCGTGTCTCTCATATGACACAAAAGCTATAGTTTCTGTGTTGTAATGCATAGTTATATAAGACATTAAATAATCTGCATCGTGAAACACAGCACACCTTTTACCACTGTTTAAATCTACAGCAACCAACATGTCACGACACTCAACAATGAAATATGATTTATGTACGAATGTACTTGAAGTTAAAAATGCATCCATACTATGCAAAATCGTACTCACGTCATTGTTCTTATGGATATTAATTACATAAATGCCAGTTTTCTGGTAGGATATGATGTCTTGAAGAGAGAATGCAATGACCGCTTGGTTACTATCATTTATGCAGCATTTGAAGTTTAGATCACATACAGTTACATGTTGTGGAACAAAATTTTCCTTAAAAGACGCTATGGGTATTTTTGCAGTATGCCAAGTTTTCAAGGTAAGTTCATTGTTGTTATTTCCCCATTTCCATAATGTGTATTTTCTTTTGTTTACAGTTAAAATAACAGAATTATCAGGTGATACAGCTGCTGCTTTACATTTTGAACTATCATCAGGAAGTCGTTTGTTGTATTGTATCTCACCCTTGGTAATTCTAACAACTTGAACAAAACCTCTACGGTCGTTACAAACTAAGACATCACCAAATTTTAAGATTTTCTTAGGTTTAAATCCAATGTCAACATGCTTTGCTTTAGTAGAATCTACAAAATTTTCAGACGAAGTTGATATCTTCATAAGATGATCTGAACCATCCCATATCCACAGTAAACCATCTGACCACCAACATCCCAATGCATCCTTCAGTTGCATTGGTACAGTTTGAATAATAGTGCAACGTTCAATGCTCCAAATATGAATGTTGACGTGGTCACCAACAGCAAAAGCAGCCAAAAAAGATCCATCTGGTGAAAAACAACAACATTTAAGTTTAAATTTCTCAAAGATAAATGAAGGTCTCCAAAGATGATCAGTTTTGAAAATTTTAAGCTTGGAAAAATACGGCACAACGTAAAATTCCTTAAACGAGATGGGATGGACATTTTTAGGTTTCCTCCTTATACATTGACACACAAGATATTCTAAATGAAACAAAATTTCTCCTTGATCGTTGTATTTTGTCAACTGAGTGATTTCAGAAAGCTTTCTATTCTGGTTTGTATGATAAAAAATACAACCACGATAATGTTGTGTTATCATTAAATGTACAGGGCTTCCATAATTCCCTTTTTTTAAAAAAATGTCAATTGCCTTTGGGAATTGAAAAGCATAAACGTTGACGAATTCTGTAACAAAGAACTCTGAATATTTATCGGTGCATTGTAGTTTTTGGTAATCAACAACGCAGCGTCGATCAATTCTTTGCAAAGTTAATGAATTCCATGCAGTGAATATATCTTTAGGAATAGGAAATTTATTGTCAACTATTAAATAGTCTGCTGTAATAAACAAACCAGAATCTGAGAAAGAGCAACGATTAACGGCATCATGTGACTGTAGACACAATAACAAACGTCCATTGTTAACGTCCCACAACTTTACTTGAGTAGATCCATCACTAGTTACCAGTCTACTTCCGGCAGGTGAAAAAGAGCAACAACAGATGTTTCCACGTACAAAACCAAATTTCTTTGATGGTCGAAATTCATGGTGGTCATACAGTGACATTAATGTGACTACATCATCCCACTTATCCAATCTTGAACCATCGAGTGCAGTACCTAGAGTGCGTCGTTGTTTGAATTCAGGAAGTTCAAAAATACATATTTGACCATTTTCATATCCTACAGCAAGAAGTTCTTCATTGGATGACACACAAAGAGATGTAACGTTAGCACGCAAGGGGACATTCAAATGATGATGGTTTGTTAAATATGTTGTGTCTAAATCCTCAAACCAAACAAGCTTTCCTTGTTTCAATAAATTCCTTGCCAATAATCTATTTTCGTTACTGCCATCAATGCTGTTTGCAATATTTTGTAAATATTCTGAGTGACGATCTAATCTAGTTAACACAAATTGCATTGTCCAAAAAAAATTAAATGTTTCCTCAAGTACATCTTTTCTCAACAAATTTTGTCGTTTTTTAATGATTTCAAACATTTCAAACCTAATGGTATTCATTTCATGGTGTTCCACAACCATTAACATCGCACAAACCACTTTGACATCTACTGCCCAGCTAAAGTCAACATTTTCGCCACATTTTGACATATGATAAATTCCATTCTTTAAAGCATATTTAATCATAGCAGTGTTCATCTGATCTTCAAAAATGTTCATCTTCTTAATTTGTTCAAACCCTTTCTCACAAACATGCCATAAGAACTTATGACCATTTTTTGGATCAACTGTAAACTCATGCTGTTCGTAACCATCTGATTTCAACCAATCAATTAGAGATTTGTGATACACGGTCAAATAATCATCGTAAATTGGAAAAAATTGAGATAGCACTTCTTGTATTTTAATACGATCTTTAAACTTCATGGCATCAGAAAAACCCAAACATTGAAAAAGAAAAGACAACGGCAAAATACTTTGATAAGTCACCAACACTTCAAGACATTCCGTAAAGTTTTTATCGGAAATAATGGGTTTTTTGTGTGTTGATAAAATTATTCCTTTCAACAATTCATTTAATCTCTTGAATTCTTCTTTGTAAAATTTACTCAATCCAGTAGGAACCAATTGTTTAATATTCTCGACAGTTAGCTCAGTTTTTTCTTTTTTTAAACTCTCTTGTGCGTGGTAAGCGTACAGAAACGAACCCTCGCATTTTTCAATTAATAAACGGAAAACCTTGTAATCGTAATAATCGTCATCAATGTCAAATGAGTCATTACTGTCATCACTGTCATCAATGTCAAATGAGTCATCACTTTCAACACTGTCATCACTGTCTTCGTGCCGCTTGTCAGCAATGAAGAAATTACTCTTCAACTCATGTGCTAAATACTGGCACAGATCGTATTTGTTCTTTCTATCATGAGGCTGAGTTTCTATTTCTACAGGATTCATGTCTTTCAATTCTGTTTGAACAGGAAGTTCTGGACGACTGGTGATGAAGATTTTAATCCATTTAGGTAGTCGGCCAAATTCATCAGTAATCAATTCCAACAATTCACTTTTGCCATCAACTTGACTTTCATCTAATGCATCAATTACCAAAAGCATTGGTTCACGATCTTCTAATGAATGCAATGGATTATTTAATAAAACAACAAATTTATCGGTGATTGATTCTTTGGAATGGTTTCTCTGTAATTCTTCATTCAGTTTAAATTTAAAATCTGATATTGTATCACACATGCTACTAGCCAATGATTCTATCAATATTTGAGGATTTCTATAATCTGATTTATTATATCTGCAGAAATGAGAAGCAGCAAGTTTCTTCTTTTCAGAATATCGTCGACACACCTCAGCAGCAAACACACTTTTACCAACACCAGGACCGGCAATCAAAATCATGACATTAGAAGCATTTTCCCTTCTATCGTTAAACCAAGTGTCAAGTTCTTCAAATAACCATTGTCTAGTGCCTTCAAGGTATTTCTTGTTAAGATCTTTTATAAGACCATCAAACTTACACTTTCCAAGTTTCTGAAGATCTGAGCACATTTTGCCCTGTAGCTTTTCTACATCAGCTTTTGTTGGCATGTTTTCTTTAATTTCTTCAACTTTATTTTTTATAACATCAAAATCTTTTTTTAATTCTTTTACATCCTCTTTAGTTTCCTCTGCGACATTGATTAACTGTTGTTCTTTTTCATACCAGTTTTTCAATATTTCAATATAGTTTGCCTCTTCAGAACTGAGGGGAGCTTTATTTAATTCATCTATTTCAGTTTGTTGAATACCCAAACCAACCAATGCTTTTGAAATTTCCTGCCATAAGTGCACAAACTCACTGTCATCTACACTAGTTGTAGTTATGTGACCGTACACTTTGTTTCGATAAAACTTTATTCTTGCAATATTATCTGAGATAGAAATATGTGAAGAGGAAGGAAGATTATTCCATCCTCCAGATGGTTCTGTTAAGCCACAAATGTTTCGTAACAAAACAGTCAATAATGAAATATCATATTTTTCAATGTCAGGTGAGCCAGTTGATGGGTAAAGAAGGTTCCATTGCTCTTTGTTGATGAATTTGAATTTTAGTGATGTCAATTTACTCTTTGTAGAAGGATCATTGAATTTTGCAGCCAAATTTAAAGGGCTTATCAAAGTTTGGAATTTTGCTTTCAAGGCTTGTGTTCCTTTATTTATCAAAAGTTTACTTAAACGAGATCCGTTCGCCTCAATTTTCAGTTTTTTAGGTGGTGAAGCCATTTTTCAAGCTAGAAATGAAGAACGAGTTTTTGCAAAAAGACCAATTTGCAATGTACAAAATAAGCACAAAATTAAATGGATTGATGAACAAATAGTACTATAAGTAATTTTACAAATAATCCTTTTCTTTTTTTCATTCGTTAAAAATTACGTTCACTCTTCTCAGTAACAAGACCCAGTAATTGATAGTACATCATCGAATTCAGCATCCTGTAATATAAACGACTTGAGGCAATGAAAAAAGTTTCTTCTTACTTATTTCGTTATTATTTTAAACTTATTGCTTGATGTTTGTGAAACTTTACTGTCACAAATTTGCATGATGGACAGTAAATATTTGTGCATTAGAAATTAAGTTGACTAAAAATAAATTCAAAATAGTCTTGTTATAACTACTATGTCATTTCTTTAATCACTTCAACCGACACAATTGTTGTACTTACATAAAAAGACAAAAACTACAGACAATATTCTGGAACTGTAGTTTTGGATCATGTTGTTTGTAATTTTTTTCTTAGAACTTTGATAAGACTTCATAGTTTTTAAAACCTACGATTATGTGACAAATGCAACTAATGTATGTTAAATATTTAATGTCTGAAAGTTTCATATCATGTAAATATTTATTTTTGTATTCATGGATCAAGGTTTGACAAAGAAATTTCAAAAATATTATTCTCTTGTTTTCAACCGAACACTTACCATAGTAAACCTCATGTAGATAGATATCTGTATATGTAACTGAAAGAGATATCAATAAGTTTTAATCACTCACAAAGTTTCTTTTTGTCAAATATTTCGATCGTCTTCATTTTAATTATGGTTTATTAAGCATAAAACGGAGTGCAAGAGGAAAGCAAAACGATTACTTTAACTTTAAAATACCAGTACAAGTACTAATACACCAACATTTTACACAATTAATATAAGTAGAGGATTCTGAATTCCCTAACATAACTTTAAATGCAACCTCAAGTGCATGCTGAAAAACCCTAAATGAAAGATTTGTGAATGTTTTAAAACAAGTTCAATTCATTATATTGCTTAAGTGTGATAAATTGTTTTTGTTGAAGGAAGTCTTTGATATACTTGGCTATCGATTTGTCATTTGTGGATGGACATAATAAATTTTTATTGCTTTACGTGGAATTCACAGAGTTATGAATGAGGTCAAGGAGCAGAATTATTAGGTGTTTTAAGGATTTTTTAAGGAATTGATGGTTTCAAGAATTTTTAAAGGAAGTTTGACCAATTTTACCTAGAGCTGAAAACGTTTTCAGGAGAAGCAGCTTACCACACAAAAGAGATTTAACAAAAAGAAACATTCTAGGTACGCATATATTTACATAATTCTTCGTGCTCTAGCTACATAATGTTCATTTGTTGAATGTGAGAATGTGAGCAAAATAAGCTGTTCGCCTACATCGAACTGATTTTCTAATTTCATGCAGCAAATAATAAAAAAAATATAAAATGATATCAAACGAAGCGATTGACACAAGTTGCTGTCCAAAGATAAAAACCGCACTTTTATTCAAAACAAATAAATATCTTATGAGTATGAAATCCAAGCGCTTTTCTTTCTAGCTTGGTTCCTCTTTGATGATTAGTCGACTTCCATGTCAGGCATTTTTAAACGAATAAAAGGATCATCAAAAAATGCAAAACAGCAAAAGAAAAGGAAAACGGACAGTTTTTTGTGACAACGATACCTGGCTTAAAAAATTTTATCAATTTAAATAAATTTAATTGTGCATTATCATGTGAGTACTGCGTGTGCGATTGCATTTTATATTTATATTTACTTATTACTGTGGTAGTGTATAATTGATGAATTCGTTCGCGGTTGATATAAATAATAAAATATAGTCGTTTTGATAGGTAAAAAGATCATTCGTTTCAACAAGATGATGCGAAATTAACTAAGCCAGGCATAAATTTATATTATCGTATTCTCCAATAAAACATAGCGCCATTTAGCTTGTAGTTTTGTTTAACGCTCATTTTTATTTTCTCGGAAGCTAGAATCATCTTGTAATATAATAAATATAGTATAATATATGCTTTGTGTATCTGTGTATCTACTGAAAATGTGGATGAACAGCCAATGAATCCAAGTGGACGAGTATTCTGCCATTTAGTCAAACCTTACATGTGTATCTGTGTATCTAATGAAAATGTGGATGAACATCCAATGAATACAAGTGGACGAGTATTCTGCCATTTAGTCAAAACTTACATGTGTATCTGTGTATCTACTTAAAATGTGGATGAGCAGTCAATGAATCCAAGTGGACGAGTATTCTGCCATTTAGTCAAACCTTACATGTGTATCTGTGAATCTACTGAAAATGTGGATGAACAGCCAATGAATCCAAGTGGACGAGTATTCTGCCATTTAGTCAAACCTTACATGTGTATCTGTGTATCTACTGAAAATGTGGATGAACAGCCAATGAATCCAAGTGGACGAGTATTCTGCCATTTAGTCAAAACTTACATGTGTATCTGTGTATCTACTGAAAATGTTGATGAACAGTCAATGAATCCAAGTGAACGAGTATTCTGCCATTTATTCAAACCTTACATGTGTATCTGTGTATCTACTGAAAATGAGGATGAACAGTCAATGAGTCCAAGTGGACGAGTATTCTGCCATTTAGTCAAACCTTATATGTGCATTTGTGATAGAAACGAATTGAGAAAACTACGAGATGGATTGAACGACAAGATCGCAACATTGAAAATCCTTTATGATGCGATTATTGATATGCTGAGCGAAAGCAATGAGAAAAATGCGGAAGAAGAATTGGGAAAAGAAATTGAAGATGCGGACGAGATACGGGCAGAATTCGAGCGAGCAATTTTGGAATTGAACGACATCGTCAATTAGTCTAATGTCCCAGTTGAAACGGCAACAACGAAATTAAATGGCACACTGAACAGCAGTTTGAGTAGTGAGACACGCAGAGATATAAGAGCAAAACTCCCAAAGTTGGAAGTAAAGAAATTTAGCGGACGGTTGCAAGAATGGCAAGAATTTTGAGATTAGTTTGATAGTACGGTGAATAATAATGACAAATTGTCTGACGTAGACAAGTTTGCGTATTTTAAGAGTCTTTTAGTCCAACCTGCAAGATTGATAATATCGGGATTTTCCCTAACTTCAGCGAACTATGCGAAAGCCGTAGACTTGTTAAAAAAGAGGCATAGTGTAAACTGTATATCTCAAATTAGGAATGAACATGTAGAGTTGAGAAAGATGGATTATTCACATTTAAAGAGTCAGTGGTTTTCAGATGTTTGCAAGGATAAGAAGGTTTCAGATATTGAAGTTTTGATTGGAGCAGATTATCTTTGGTGGTTTCTGGAAGGCAATGTTGTTCGGGGACAGGTAGATATACCAGTTGCTGTGTGTACTAAGTTAGGTTGGGTGTTGTCCGGCGACATGAAAGCGAGAAATGATTTGGATAACATGCACACTGAAGTAAACTTCATTGCACGTGAAAGTTCAGGAAATTTAAGTTTAGATATGAATGTCAACCGTTTGTGGGATTTTGAAACTTTAGGAATAGCAGAGGAAGATGAAATTCATGAATCGCTAAGGGATTCTATTGTGTTTAATGGTAACAAATACAGTGTCAAATTGCCATCGAAAGAAGGACATAGTTTAGACTATACAAATTACAGCACAAGCTTGAGAAGATTAAAGGGTCAGTTAGTACGGCTGAAAAGGGAACCAGAAATTTTAGAAGAGTATGAAAAGACAATCAAAGATCAATTGAGGAGGGTATTATAGAACCAGTGATAGAACTAGAGAAAGATGATAAAATACATTATTTACCACATCATGTGATTATTCGCAGGGAAACGAAAACAACAAAGGTAAAAGTTGTTTTTGATGCGTCGTGTAAAGAGTCGCCCAAGGCTTCCTTGCTCAATGACTGCTTGCATGTGGGACCCAAATTAGCAACATTGCTCTTTCATATTTTGATAACGTTTAGACAGAAGAGAGTCACTTTAGTGGCAGATATTGAAAAGGCATTTTTGAATACAGCAGTTCAAACTTTGGACAGGGATTGCGTAAGATTTTTACGGGATGATGATGTAAACATTGAGAAGGTGAAACCTGTAGAATAACGATTTTGTTGAGTAGTGTTTGGGGCTAACTGCTCTCCATTTTTGTTCATTGCAACACTGCAGTATCATTTGTACTCATTCATAGACATAGATAAGGAATTTGCTACAAAATTCAGAGATAGCTTTTATGTCGATGATCTAGTGTCCGGTAACAATTCAAGGAGAAAGTAATGAGGTTGTATGAGTCAGCAAGTGAGCAATTGGCTGCGGGAGGATTTAGGCTTAGGAAGTGGCTAGGTAATGATGAGAATGTTTTGAAAGAAATGGAAAAGAGAGAAAGAAGCATTGTAGAGGAAGAAGAGCAAAATTTAGTAATTCGAAAGTGGTTGATGAACAAACTGATGCCAAAGCATCAGTTGAGGAAAATAGTATAATGGGAAGTGGAAGTTTTGAGAAAGTACTAGTATTGGGATGGGAGTGTAAGACGGATCGCTTCGTATTTAGCCTCTGGAAATTGGATGACAAATCAAAGGCATTCATCCCAAGTAAACGAAATATACTAAGTATACTTGCAGGATTATTTGATCCTTTACGTATCATAAGTCCAGTTGTAGTTAAAGCTAAATGGGATAATGAGCAGTAAGGTGACAACAAAAAACGTTGGGAGAGATGGATAAAAGATTTATATAGAGTCAGGAATTTAGTTGGGGCGAGATATGCGTATGGTAATTTACTTGGTAAGGTAAAGTGTTACTTGCATGGGTACGCAGATGCCAGCCAAAAGACATACTGTGCGGTTGTATATTTTGTGACAGAGCTAAACGGTGCCTACCACGTAGAGTTGCTTACGTCGAAAACAAGGATAGCGCCAATAAAATTGCAGACAATTCCCAGACAAGAAGTGATGTCAGCAGAAATATTAGCACAGTTGATGGACACAGTGAAGTTGGCCTTAGAAGTTCAAATTCAATTTAATGGTACATACTATTGGTTGGACAGTAGGACTGCATTGTGCTGGATGGGTAATAGGGGCGAATGGAAACAGTTTGTGCGCCATAGAGTTAAGGAGATTTTAAGATTGAGCAGGAAGGATAATTGGAAACATTGCCCGGGTGTAGACAACCCTGCGGTCTTAGGTTCAAAGAAAGTTACGGCATCACAATTAAAGGAAAGTGAACTTTGGTGGAAGGGATCGAAGTGGTTGTCAGGTCCCCAGTGTGATTGGCCAATGCCAAAAGAGGTTTAAACTACAGAGGAAAGTCTTGCAGAAGTCGAGAAGACGGCAGTGGCTACCACACAGGTGGTAGATAAAGATTGTGTGATAAAATTTGGTAAATTTAGTAATCAAGAGAGACTAATACGGGTCGTGTCTATCGTTGGGCGATTTGTAGACAATTTGAAGGCAAGAGTTAAACACGGGACAAAGAGCACTGAAACATTGAAAGTCTCAGAGCTGATAATGCAGAACGAGCGTTGATTAGAATTGCTCAGAAAGAGTTAATGGAAAGTCTTGACTATGAGCAATTGGTTAGATAATTAAACATAGTAGAGCGTGATGGGATAGTTATATGTAAAGGAAGACTTGCCAATTCAGATTTAGAGCTAGAAGCTAGAGAACCAATTTTATTGCCTATGGATCATCACTTAACCGAATTAATTTTAAAGATAGCCACAGGAAGGTTCATCATAGTGGAGTAAGAGCGACCTTTGTTCAGCTACGAGGCAAATATTTGGTACCATGAGATAGACAGATCGTGAAGAAGGTGATAGAAAATTGCATAATTCGTAGAAGACATCAAGGAGAGGCTTATAAAAGACAAATCCACGCGAGTTTGCCAGATTTTAGAGCTCAGTATTCACCACCCTTTTCTAAAGTAGGAGTAGATTTTGCTGGTCCATTGTTTGCAAAGGAAGGTGGACAGATAGTGAAAGTATACATCGCATTATTTTCCTGCTGTGTTACAAGAGCAATTTATCTTGATTTAGTTGATAGTTTAAGTGCACGTTGTTTTTTAAACACTGCATGCGAAGATTTACTGCTAGAATGGGAGCACCCTTGCTAATAGTTTCGGACAACGCCAAAACATTTAAAGCAACTGAGAGAGCGTTGAATGGGACTTATGGAAGGAAGGATATAAAATCATATTTGGAAGGTAATCGGTTGATATGGAAGTTTAATTCGGCAAAGAAACCCTAGTGGGGTGGATTTTTTGAAAGAATGGTAGCATTGGTGAAAGGTTGTCTGAGGAAGGTGTTGGGTAAAGCTAAATTGAACAAGGATGAACTGCTAAGAACATTAGTTGAGGTACAAGGTACGCTAAACTCTAGACCGTTGACTTATGCATATGAAGATGAAGTAAAGATGTACTGACTCCTGCAAATCTTATGTTTGGAAGAAGATTAACATCTATTCCAGACGAAGGAATTCTGCATACTATTACTGACGAAGATGCAGGAGTGGTAAAGCGTAGTATTAGGTATTTAGCAAGATTGAGAAAGCCTTTTTGGTGAAGGTGGAGGAAGGAATACTTAACAAGTTTTAGGAGTTTCAAAAGGTTGGCAAAGTAAAGGCTAGTTTGTGTCCAAAAGTAAGTGATATAGTTCTTGTGTTTGTGGAAAGTTTGAAAAAAGCATTTTGGAAAATAGCGAGAATCGAGAGACTAATCAAGGGAAAAGATAATATAGTCAGAGTAGCGTAGGTCAAAGTTGTTAGCAAGGTAAGGCCACTGCACATAAGAAGGCCTCTTCAAAAACTGTATCCACTAGAGATAAATGCAAAGGTAGGTTAAGAAAATTCAGCGTCCTACATGTAGAAAATACAATCATGCTATTCTTTCTCCCCATACATTTGAACAGGTTTTGTTTTCCTTTACCATGCAGATTATTCTCAATAGTTAGAAAGTTGGTATATAAATTTAGATAGGATTTCTCATGCATGCTAAGTCATACTCTATCGAAATGCTGCTTTAGTTAAAAAGTGAAATTCTAAAAAAATCGCTTAATTTTTCTAAAATTAGTTCCATTTTAGAAGTTAGACGACCGTGTGAACAAAATTATGCTTGCTTTAGTTCTTTACATGTCACATACTCAACAAACGGATGAAAGATTCAATATAAACAACGCGACCACACACATATCAGATTATTATTTGGTGATGAAAGTTCATACCTTATTGTAACATCAAGCTTTTACCCTTGTGAGTTTTGTCACATAAACACATTTGAATAACGAATGAAGTTGAAGAGTGAGTCAGGATCTCCTTCAACAAACAGTATTAAAACACATTAATGACGTCTATGTAGAACATTCTAGTTATATAACTAAGTATAGAACACTGACTAAAAACAATTGTTATTGAAATAAAAATACATAAATAAGAAACTCGTGCAAAATACATAGTAACATTGAGATTAGTCAAATTCCAAAAGACTACTGCTAAATGTTATAAAGTTTCACAAGTTTTATTTCAGGAATAGAGAATCACTTTTGTAAGACAGGATTTGAATTCCAATAATTAAGACACAATTTTCGAAACTATGAATGGATTTTTCCCTTCATTAATCAAAACTTTCATACATGTATATTCTTGCATAAGTCAGTTCTTATTATAAAAAACCTTTCTTATTGAATAAATCATTGTAAATTATGAATACATGTCAAACATCAACTGCACGCAATTATAATTACTTATGATCAATAAAGACACTGTAGATACAACAGTAAAGGATGCAATAGAAGTAAACCTTAAGACTGCTAAATAAACAAGATCAAATTGTAATTTTAAAAGCTCACTGTGTGTTGCATGAATCAACAATTTACAAAAATAGATTCGGTTGCGTGTTTCTCTGTGTAAATACATTCTTCCTGTGTTTAACATTAGCTTATTTTTCAAATTTTCTTACTTTTAAAAGAAATGGTTTGTTGTATACAACTATCAACATTTTGCTAGACACACAGAGATTAGTGAAAAGTGGCGTCGGCAAGAAGGAAGGTGATGCATGATTTGATACGTGCCCCTTGCTATATAAATTTTCACAGATTCCCATTTTTTTATAGACAAGTATCCTATTTCACCTCTTCCATACCTTTGAACAGGTTTTGCTTTCCTTTACCATGCAGCTTATTGTCAATAGTTAGAAAGTTGGTATATAATTTTAGATATAATTTCTCATGTATGTTTAGTCATACTTCATCGGGATGCAGCTTTAGCTAATTTGTTATTTCGGTAATGTAATTCTAATATATCGCTTAATTTTTGTAAAATTACTTCCGTTTTAGAAGTAAGACGACCGTGTGAAAAAAATTATGATTGCTTTAGTTCTTTACATGTCATTTATTCAACAAACGGATGAAAGATTTAATATAAACAACGCGAACACATACATATCAGATTAAAAATGGTGATGAGAGTTTATACCTTATTGTAACATCAATCTTTTATCCTTATGAGTTTTGTTACATTGACACATTTGAATAACGAACGAAGATGAAGAGTGAGTCAGGATCTCGTTCAACAAACAGTATTAAAACACATTAATGACGTCTATGTAGAACATTCTAGTTATATAACTAAGTATACATCACTAACTAAAAATAATTGTTATTGAAATAAAAATACATAAATAAGAACCGCATGCAAAGAACATAATAACATTGAGATTAGTTTAATTTAAAAGGACTACTGCTAAATCTTATAAAGTTTCACAAGTTTTATTTCAGGAATAGAGAATCACTTATCTAAGAGAGGATTTGAATGCCAATGATTAAGACACAATTTTAGAAACTGTGAATGGATTTTTCCCTTCATTAATCAAAAATTCCATATATGTATACTCTTGAATAAATCAGTTCTTATTATAAAAAATCTTTGTTATTGAATAAACCATTGTAAATTATGAACACATGGCAAACATCAACTGCACGCAATTATAACTACTTATAATCAATAAAAACACTGTAGATACAACAGTAAAGGATGAAATAAAACTAAACCTTAAAGGACACATGCAAGCTAGAAGACAACTTTATTTTATTGTAATGCCTATAGCGTGAAAATAAGACGTACCAAGTTTGAAAGTCGTCCGCGAAATATTTAAAAAGATATTTAGGGTTATAATCGGTAAAAACACGATATTCGATGACCATTGCTAAAACGGCCGTGAGATTGTTTAAGTCTGGGAACTGGGAAAGAGTGACGTAATAGTTGACATAAACAAGCATCATTCTTATATCGTTCTACGACTTGCACGCAATTCTTGCACGGCTTTCGCGGTAGTTTGCTATTACTGTTTTTTATGTAACAAAAATTAATGGATTCTTCTGAAGAAGAAGCCGATTATGATATTGTCGTCAACAACAATGAGGTACAACCTTACATGTTCGAGCCTTTGGCCAACGCGCAAGGTGGTCATAGTAATGACAATTCTTCGTCATCGGAAAGCGAAGATGAATACATTCACAGAATTGGAAATGTTGAATGGTTAGTTGCATTTTATTGATGCTTCATTGTTTTTCCCAAAGTAGAAAGAATGTATTTATCTTTTAGGTGCGAGTGTGGCTTTTGTGTGGTCATGAGTACAGGACGGGAAAGTATATGTTGCCAAGAGGTAAACAACACTGATCCTCTGATACATGGCGATCATATTTGCATCACACAAGAGGAAGAGTTTGCCACAGTATGTACAAACGAAGCTGTCGTAAAAACAGCTATGGTCGTGTACACACATGACATTGGACCTATGCCTGAGAGTGAAGAAAACGAGTAAATATTACCTTAGAAGTGTAATTACGTGTATGTCGACAAGTGTATAATGCCGATAAGTATCTTAGACAAAATTTTGTATCGTTCAGAGCATTACGCTACACGGCGTACCGACAGTGGACGGCTTGGGTGCATGGCAGGTTGGGAAAAAAGTACCGACTACCCATACCTTCTTGTGCTGTGGACAAAATCCGGAAAGCATTTCCTTCGCCTTCTGGAGAATACAAAGGATTTGAATATGCTCAACACTACTGAATGGTAGGGCTTATGGCGTATGACAAAGTCTCTTCATTTGTAATTATGTTTATTTCATGTGGGACGTTATTTTATTTATTAAAGCGAGATTTATGTTGCTTAATGGCTTCAGCTTTGCTGATTTTTGATTTGTGGTGAGTCAATGGGACAGGTATTTCTTTCACTCCAGCGACATCAAGAGCTTTGGACAGTGTTGGATTAATGCGTCTGCAGTACAAAACTTCTTTCATCAAGTCCTTAACATATCCTGAAAAGCAAATCATTATTTATGTTGGCTTTGCATTGCACTTTGAGAAAAGGTAAGTTTATTTTTCTGTGCTAACCATAAGTGCTGTCAACTTTCACTGGTTTGATGACCCCTTGTCCTTCTTTTGACTTTGAATAAGCCACTCTCCAAATCAATGCCTCTTCTGTTTGCCCACCATTCTTCTGAGGTTTATTTCCATTCTCATTGAAATGAAGAGCAGCAATAAACAATCTACAAATGAATGTTAAGTTTATGTTTACAACTATTGCAACTTATTGCTTTTGCAATGATGACTTTTTAAGTAATCATACACTAGTCATAATTATATTACCTTGCTTCCATTGATCTGTAGAAAAAATGGGTATGTTTTGGTGCAAAAAGAATCACCACTCGGTGGAAACCTTCGATGGATGAAGTCTGCTTCTGATAACTGAGTTTTCCAATATCTCTCATGAGATACTTGGACTCAACAATCGAAGACAGCTCAACATAAGCTTTTGAACCTAAGATCAGAAGTTAGTTAACAAAAAGAAAAGAATGTTGATGTTACTTTGAAATTTATTTGCTTACAATACCTTTTTTTATCCACATTCTAGGCTCTAACATATCATGTTCACATTTTGGGAATACATCACTATGTCCCTCATGGATGTCACATATATGATTGAGAACTGACAACCACTTTGCCTTGACAAGTTCTTCATCACCATTGCTGGAAGCAGCACACCAGTATACATGGTTGGAAATTGATTGGGCCCAATCCGACAATAATTTGCAACCACTTTTTTTTGATGCTGCCAAAATTTTCTTTTTGATTCCTGTTGGAATTTGATTATTGATGAAATGTGTAAAAGGTTGGTTTGTTATGACAATCTATACCTTTGCTACATGCCATACATCAAAGTAGTGCTCGATTTTTGGTCTTTGTTTTGACATGTAGGATTTGATTTGAGCATGTCTGTCTGTGGTCATTGACTTCACCTTCATCCCACTTTCATCAAACTTTGCCAGACATCTCTTTAATCCCTCAAGTTCCATTGCTCCAGAGTTCGTCACTTCATTGGACTGTGTAACATAATTATGTGAGTATTCTAACCATGTTTTATGTACAGTTGTTGAAGAATTGTTACCTGAACAAGTTGTGTGTCTAAAATGTTGTTAGATTCCAAATCCATGCAGCTATATGACCCATACTTGGCACAATATCCAGGCGAATCACATCTTCCATCTCCTCCAAGGTTAATGTTCCTTTCTCTGATTGATTCTAGAAGATGCTTTTGGTGCATATGCCAAACATTTGAAACACTGGGTATCAAATACGCTGTTTGAATATTGCTATATGTGAGCTCTGACAGAAATTGTATGCCTGAGTGACGAAGAAATTGAAGAACTTTGCTGGGGCTACTACCACTAAACAAGATACTGGCAGCAAAGACCAAGTTGCCCAAAGGCATTCGCCCATGCAGAGGTTGGCTATTCCAGTCTCGAACATAACCACAATTACATTTTGCTAGTACGTTAACCATACTACCAGTCGTTTTGGTCACAATGGAACAGCTTTCACCACAACATGGGCATTGACTCACTAACTGTCTCAGGCAACTATCAAACACTATGTATTTTCTCTCATTTTGAACGTCTTCCCTATAACATAAAAATTACCATCAGAATCAAGAGAGAGATGAACGTAACGTTCTGAGAAACATATAACAGAGAAAAGCAATGTAAAGAATAGTCAGGTGACTGGATAGTTGGTACTAACGTTGCATTGTCATTGTCGGATTCTTCATTTTCGCTTAACCCATTTGAACATTGAGAGTCTGATCCATAGTAGCTATTGCTCATCGTCGACGTGCTTTCTGTATCAGACCATACAGCTCTATCCTCAAAATGTTCAATTTCACATGACGTCGTCTGTGTGGTGTGATTTTTTGTTGAAATGAACTCAACCTCCGTACCTTAGCATAAAATTATCGTATTGCTGGATTTTTCACAAAAATCAAAACGGCCGGAATGGAAAGTCTATACCTCTACTTATCATATTTGGCACTTTTGTTTGAGTGGTTCTTGACCTTACGTGTTTTTGCGGACGGATTGTTATGGCTGCTTGGCATTTCACATTGCGCTTCTAAAGTACGTTAAGGAATTTTTTATGAGTTAAAATAACAAAGAAAAGATCAAACGACATTAGTCTGAATTAGTTACCACTGTATATGTTTGTGTTTCGCTGTCTACATATATTTTGACATCATTCATCTTAGACAAACTTCCTTTGAGGTAAAACGCACAAACATTTCGAGCCGATGTCGACACATCGTGGTCGTCGTCTACAAGAAAGTCGTCATGTTCTGCAAGAACGTCGTCAATAATCTAAAATTATAAAATTGTCTTCAATTTGGTAATGCTATATAGCTTAGTTTTGATAAATGTAAACAAATATTGCTAACTATAACTATAATAATCACCTCTTGCCTTCGTCTCTTCTCAAATGCAGTTCTAACATTTGTTGGCTGCTTCCTTTTAGATGCTACACTTGTGGGTTCCACAGAGTATTCAAAATCGTGGGTACAGCATCCTTCTTAAGGCGAAGCCGTCCTGCTGTCCATCCTACTGATTGCATCGCTTCAAAATTTTGCACGAAGCACGAACTCGAAATGTTGCGAGCACAATTTTGAGCTCTTTGTTGGCTTCCAATTTTGCGTCGGATTTTTCAATCCAAATATCTCGCATGCGCTTGTTTTCGGAAACGAAAAAAGAAACCTTTGTTGCGTTTCGTGGTTCTTAGAAGAACCGTTTTACAATTAAATGCGGCACAATAAACCATATTTTCAATGCTAAATTGTCGTGTTGTTAAGAAGTTACCAATATATTTTGAACGAAGCGCAATTGACCGCGTTTAGCGAATGTCAACTATTACGTCACAACGACATCGGTAGCTGTCGCCAGCTCGTCGGGCATTTTCAATACGTTATCAGTAAAGCATCAACTTTAAACCTCCATATCTTCAAAAATATTTATCCTTTGAGTCTCAAACTTTGGTGAACTATTAGTTGTAGCTATACCTTCATGTAAAGTACAAAAATAACAATCCGAATTTTATGTTGCATGTGTCCTTTAAGACCAGGGGCGGATCTAGGATTTTTCAAACATCAGTCATAAAACGTCGGAGGCACTCCGCGCCGTGGGGGTCTGAGGTATTCTCCCCTGAGAAATTTTGAATTTCAGAACCTCTAAAATGCCATTTTCAGCGTTTTAGAGCAATACAAGATGTATTTTGTGGGCATCGTTTTTCGTTAAAAACAACACATTTTGCTTACGTTTTTTTCAAAAAAAAATGAAGTGAACAATACTTGAATGTTTTGCCAAATATTTAGGCTCATTATCATGCCAAATATATGGCTCATTAGCATGTCTAGGAACGTAAAATTTATTTTACAATAATGCTATTCAAAAACAGATATAGTCTTTAAAAATTTCTACCAAGTTGTCAGGCATAGACCCCCCTAGAGACCCCCATTCAAACCTCTATGTAATAAGTTAAGTTAGAAATTTGGTACTACAAGTGACAGTTCATAATAGAAAAGCTCAGACTTCAAACCATGCAAGTTTATTGTAACCCTTTACCCATCTCCACATCAGAGCTGCCAGCAATTCACTTTTTTGAAAAACTCAAAATTTTTCTGTCAAAGATTAAGAAAATTATCAAAGTGAAAAATTGCAGTTAAGGACAGCTTAATGCCATGAATGTTTCTTAGGCATTTCACTAGACTATTATCTTCTGTAATACTATGCAAGGTGTGCTATATAGCAATCACTAGTAGCATTGTATTTGCAAATACAAACAGAATGCAACCAACATGTCTTTAATTATATAATTACATGAATGTTAAAATTGGTTCATGTGTTATGCTTACTGGTTATGATAAATATCTTTTCATATGATCAAAGCTCGTTTAAATGTAAATCTGAAATAATTTAGTTTAGAAATTATACTGATCATCAGAATAATTTCCTAGTAATCATGAAAAATACTTTGCTGTTTTGCCAAATTTCAAGGTTTATCTGCATGCATTGGAAGACATTTTTACTTTATAAAAAATGCTATTCATACATCAATAGCCCTTTGGAATTTATGGCAAACAATCTGGTATGAGCCGTAGATTAACACACCTTTACATCTCTACATGAGGTGTTCAGTTAGAAAAGGGGACAATATGTGACATGGGACAACATTTCATGTATGTGAAATACTCAGGTTTAATACCATTCCAGTCAAATTGTCAAAATAAAAAGCTTCATGGATCATAAGACTCAAAATCACAGGTTATAGTAAACAGCTTCTCATGTAATCAATGTTAGTTTTCTCAAATCTTAAACAATATGTAGTATAACTGTCCAATGATTGAATGATCAATGATCATAAACTGGAAAGCCCCAAACATTTGTTTATGATAAAGTAAATAATAGTATGGCACCTTATGGCTACAGATTTTTTGTCCATTGAAATATCTTTGCAGAAATGTAGGATTTCGTTGCCATATAACGGTCACGATTCCCCAAGCATTAAAGAAATCATAGCTAAAAGTCCTTCGTCAACAACAATTTTAGAAGCATCAATCTGCTTACCATACGCCATATTAACATAAATCGCATCACACACTCGCATAAATTGACTTTGATATATTGCATTCATGCATACACTTCACTTGTCCTTTACTTACGATTTTCGATGTAAATTTCTGCTGATAAAACTCAAAACAATGTTGGCTTGCTTTTGAACATCAATGACTGAAATGTCGCTCGCGAGATCGTCTTTGCCAAGCATTTACAATTCATCCATAAATTTTTCACCCTCTTGAAAAAATTCCCAGTTTGGAAAGCAGCATTCATGTCAACACATGAATTTGTAAAAGATTTCCATAAATTCCATCTGATTGTAGTTTAGTTTCTATGGCGCGCCGATACAGACAAAAATACTTCTTCTAAAGATCAAACTTCTATTTCAAATTTATTACTATGTTTGATATAAAATTATAGTACTTCTGAAAATTATTACTTTGTTTGATATAAAATTATAGTACTTCTGAAAAGTTTAATACTTTATTGCTGCCTGCACAACACAGTCTCAAGCTTAAATAGATGAATAGCATCAATTGACAAAACGGCTTAAATAGATGATAATCATCAATCCAAGGGAAACTCCGTAACTATCCAAATTCAATACGTTTTGCGCACCCGCGAAAAGTTAACATGGCGGAAAAACGACCAAAACGTAAGAATTCACCATATTATAGATATTGCTGTTCAAAAGGAATGGAATTATTGTGTATTAAATTAGGCAAATTTTAACTTCAATTAAGCTATTATTTATTCTACCGTGATATACAGCGTGTAAAAAGAAGAAATCCGAGACTCTGGAGAAAGTTCTGAATGATGGTTTAGCCTTGTTGGCGAAAGAAAAAGGATCAAAATGTCGGGGGAAAAAGCCTTCTCATTTTCGCTTAGTGCAAGTTGGTTGTAAGAGGTTGACCCACACGCCTTACCGCTGCCGTCAAGGATCAATTAAGCAAAATGGTAATGTTAATATTTAGTATTTATATTAAAATTTACTATCTTCAGTAGTATGTTGAGATTGTTGTTCTTGTTTGCAATTTTATGCTAAATAATATGTAGTATGCATGTGTAACTACATCATGCTATGAAATTTTGTACTTGAAATATTGACTGTACAATTTTGCTGCTTTAAATCATATATGGCTCAAACAATTTTGTCCAGTGTCCTTAGCAGATTTGACTATTTAGTTTCTTATGGGTAAGCAGAAAGACAACTGAGTAAACTGTCATTACATTACCATGCATGGTTGTACCTAAAACTGTTACAGGTCAATGTTGTTTAAGTTAGGTACTGTATAAGAAATTGCATTGTAAATTTATATTAGATAACCAGCAGTATGATAGCTCTGTGGCTGATGACTTTCAAGTAAATGATGAGCACAAGCAAACAGACGTTGATATTGGTAAGCATCAATGTATATGTATAATATTAAGTTAAATGTAATAGATTTGTCTAATGATTGCTCATGCTTGAAATGCTTTTGGTAAAACTAATAATTGCATTTGAAATCAATAATTGCAATAATTTGTTGAAATGCATGTATGTAGCTCTATCCACTTTGATATTGAGCACCTTTATTTGAAATTGTCTTAGATCATATACCGTCTCATTTAATCAGAAATTGTCCACAACAAGCTCACTCAGCTAACAATTTTAATTTCTTTACTGGTTAAATTTTTATAATATAAGTCATTATTGTTTTGTAGAGCTAGAGAATCTTATATTTGAATGCAGAGGACTTTTGGCTTCAGAGAAAGAGGATGCCAAGAAATGGTCTGATGCATGGAAGAGCTTCATTCTCTTTGGGAAAATAATAGATCTACCATATTCGAAACCTTGATCCAATGTGAATCAGTTGATAAAGGCACACCATGCTTCAATTGTGGGGAATCTCCAGGCTTGATAAAGTGTCATCAGTGTGGTAGTAACTGGCCAGTCTGTGTTGAATGTGATAGGAAAATTCATGAAAGAAAGCCATTCCATGATAGACATGGGTGGATGGGTAATCATTTCAGACCACTTCAGCCATCACATTCATTGGATAAAAATGGACAAATAATTGAAGTTGGTATGTCATGTAAATATGGTAAAAGTATGTTAAATGTCATATGCACTATGCTAACTGATGTCAAAATCAACCTACATATGTAGCTACTTATAGGTATATAATTTGGGGTGATATAATTCTATTATTTATACAAAAAGGTTTTATCTCCCAGTCTAATGATGAAAATTTATTATATTTGTTTCTTAGATTGCTATGTTTCTTTGCATCCTGTCCAAAAGTTTTGTCATGGCTGCTCTAGAAAATCAACCTTTCACTCCGTGCCCAGTAAGGACATGCTGACTATTTGTACAACACAAGGTAATGTACAAAGTATTTTATACTTGCAATGTTGAACATGCAAAATTTTGTGTTTGCTCCAATAAAATGTAATCTTATTGAACCGACAACTGTTGACATTAATCTTTAAACATTTTTGATTTCCTTCTTCATCAGTGTTGTGAAGGACTACTATATAATTTACTCATTAATTTACTGTAGTATTCTTCTTACATACTGTAATAGTTACATGTATACAGTAAACTGCCATCCTATGTACATAATGTCTTTTTAGTTATCATGTTTATTAATCTTTTTCTATTGTTAGGTCGCTTTGACATAAACAGTACATCATTCAAGTGTGTTTCTTGTTCAGCATTCTTGATGCCGACTTGCAGATATTCTTGGTAATGGCTACTGGCCAGCAAATCCAAAGTCTTTAAATGTGTTATTTTCACAGGATTTACTTCTGCTGTGGAACACAATGCAAAAGAGAATGCCAGGTTGTTCTGAGTCCAGTTTTATTAAATCATTGGAAGACATAAGTGTTTCAAAAGGAAGGGTGCGTACATAAATACTTTGTGTGTATGCCACATTACTAAGTGTAAACTCTCAGCATTGTACATAGTTTTTTTTGTGTAAAGCAATTACCATTATCACTAGTGTTATGAAAAACATCCAAATTCATAAAAAAATGTATATGTATGTGTGGCAAAAGTCTACAATTTTTTTCTATGTGATTTCTACTTTCTTTCAATTTTTAGTTTGGATCAATAAATCCACGAACGTTCACAAAAGCCTTTCGAGAATGGAAATATTTTAATTATGAGGTGGAAAAGCCCAGGGAGAGTGGATGTTTTGTCCTAGTTGCTCATCCAACCAACACTCCTGTCATGTAGATGGCAACATGAAGTTATACCGATATAAACATTCAGGAAGGTATTATGTCAAACTCTGTAATTTTACACATTCTAAGGAGCCTTTCATAATGTAAACTCTTGTTTTCTCTTTTATAGAGAACAAAGTCAGTCTTACTATGGAGATCTTTTATTTCTTCGAATGAACATGTTTCAGAGCATATTAGAAAGGTTTATTCCACTCCCCAAGTTCGGGTAATTTGGAGGTCATGCTTTGCACTGATGTTGAAATGTTTTGTACAGTTCAGTACAATACACCTACATGAGTAAAGTTCTTTCATTATAACTCAATACTTACCCTTTGATAATGATATTTATTCATTATTATTGGTTTTGCATTTTGGCTATTGTATTCATTGTAATAAATAATAAAATCGACAGTTTAGCCTTTTCTGAATCAATATATAAATGTTCGTTTTTCCACGATCATGGTTCGAATTTGAATCTTGTGTTACAGAACTTTTCTGATGACGGGAAATGTGGTGAAAGTAATTGGCGAGCTGCTGGAAATAAAGGAAAACGAAAGAGTCGTCTAGACGAAACAGGACTGGAAATTGCAGGTTGCCGGCATGCAATTGCTCAGTGGGCTGTAAACATGTTTCGCGGAGAGATTTATGGCTACTCTAATTACATCCATGTTCACAAAATGATTCCAAACAATGTTAAATACATTTGGCAAGATATCATATGTAAATATTGGAAGTGGGCAGTGAAGGCATCAAAGTCGGATGAGTCAAATGCTCACGAAATAAAACCTGCTTTATCTGTGATGCATGCCAAAGCACATAATTGGACATGCCAGGTACACTGGTATCATGTGTTGTTTTTTATAATGAATGCTGGCTGTGTACTTATACGTATATCGATGCTCACTCTCAGTATTGTCTACTCAGACATTAATGAATTTCTTATAAACAAGAATTTCCAAACTCGTCTTATTTTAAGGTATTGTGGGGAGGACGGTGGCAAAAAAGGTTCTGCATATTCCACAGGAGAGGAAGTTGAGCAGATTAATAGTTACCTTTCGAGACTGGCCAACACTACAAAGTACATGTTACCCGAGTGTAAGTGTTACTTAAAATAAGTTTATAAAATATGTTTAATTATATTGTAGACTTTATTTGTTGGATAGAACGATTATCCATATAACGTAGCTATCGTCCACGTTGGTCTCAAGTTACTGGAACATTTTTTATGGTTTTCAATTGATGTGTCATGCTATGTATGTGCTTTTTTGACAATTTTAGCAAGAGAAGAACTCATAACTGAACATGCTCTTGCGTGGAATAAACGGAAAATATGTGATCTGTCCAGCTCCCTCTGCAAGAGATATGCAAAGGTTGCTTCTCAAAAACTATTTTGTACATGCGGCCAAATAACGCTACTAACAGCCGTCATCCTGATAAGTTATTTTCTTTAGTATATAGAAGCTCAAGAAAATACAAGGAAAGAACTTGATGAAATGGTTTCTGGCGTAAATCTCTCCGAACCACGTTGATTTCTTGCAGTGGAAGAGTGAAGTTCAACGTATTGCAAAAGGTAAACGGGTTTTACTTGCTGGCATAATTTAATACGACTGTGCAGTATATCATTTTTTTCTGTTTCTGTAGAAATGGAAAGCTCTTCTTCACGTATTTAGCCGAAGAAGAGGAATTGTACGTTTTGACCTCCTCTTTAACCGATACCTCTTTATTGACATCAAATGTAAACATCTCGTGTGTTGAGACTGAAGACTATCTTTCTGCCCTGTCAAAAAAGATAATTCAAAGATACTCCACCGTTGAGGATAAACGTAAAGAGTTAAATCACTGACTGCCAAGCTTTGTCGTGATATAACCGCCGATGTACTGCTTTGATAGAGGAAAGATTTTTGAAAGTGCCTTGAAGTGTCTTAAGAATGAACTAGAAATGTTGTCTTTGCCATAGTACAAAGGGAGCAAGCGTTGTAAAATTAAGTATGTTTTACATATACACGTATATTACTACATAAGAGGAGTGCAATTGTTAGCAAGAATCCATACTGAAGTCATTAAATTTAAGGCAAAATAGATTGTTTCATTTAGTATAATTTTACCTGTTTTTGCCTGTAGACTCAAAAGCAAGAACAAAGATAAGACAGAAGATGTCTAGTGATCAGAAAACATTGACAAAAAATGCGCATATTCAACGTATTACAGTTGTTGTGCATGGTCAAAACAAGACTCGACGAGTGTTCTCTGGTTGATGGCATGTTTCTGGACTCAATGGTAAAATCAAAACATATTCTGTAAATTCCAACATGCCTTGGTAAGAACTTAAAGTTACTTAAACGTAATGTTATAAAACATCTTTTATAGAAATTTCTGTTCGACTGAAATTGTAAAATGAGTTCGAACATTTAGAAAGACTGAGGAGGAGTTAATTCTTAAGCAAGAGATGAGTAATTATTTGCGATATTACAAAGATATCGTTATTCCAAAGTTGAAAGCGGAAGTAAAAGACATGGAACAAAGTCTAAACTCAGGTATGTATAATGAAAGTCACGTATGTACTGTAAAAGGAGTCCATGTGCTCATTTTAAACAAATCATTGTAAGACATAAGCTTTTAGATTTTTGAGTCAAATTTTCAACACGTTTTGTAGAAAGAGTTTCAGTGAAAGACACTAGGGAATGTTTGTCAAATGAAAGAGTTGAATCTGAGGTATATACATATAATCTTCCGTTAAGCACCACGAATATGTATGGAGAAAATAATAAGTCGTGCGCAACAAACATAATGAAGGAACCTTAGCGTACATAAAATGTTTTGTGGAAGAAACCAAATGCCATGTAATCTATTATTTTTAGAAATCCTTGTATGCTTCGTCTCATAAATCAAGACGTGTTATTTTGGGTGAGATAGCTTTGCGATATAAACTTTGCAGCAACAGCAGACCTTGATCCAAGCACTTCTCCTGTATTAACAGTCGCGTTTTGAAGGCTTTTAGCCAGCGACAATACGATGATCTGAACAACTGATGATAAGATCGATGATTGCTAACTTGTTAAATGACTTGTTATGAAATTGTATGGATAACAGAATCCAGCCAATGAGTGGGTGCAACCATGAAACCTGCCTTAGAGCAGCTAATACTGGTCATAATTATCATTCCTGGGACTGGAAGCATTGTTATCCATTACTGATATGATCTGTTGCAAAAACGGGGAAACGCCATAAATTATCATTTGTAATATTAAAAGTGAAACGTGCATTTTGTCCTTAAATATTCTTATTATGATTTTTTCTTTATCTCAACATTGCGCGAGGTTACACTTTGTTTTGGTCTAGTGTTATCTTTTTATTGTTTTTTTTGAAACGTTCTATTCTTGTTACACATAAATCAGTTGTAAAACCATGGTGTAAAATTAAAGTGCATTTTTCCTCGTTGTATTGAGCTGTTA